TGTGTGTGTATGTGTGAGGTATAAAGACTAAAGTTGGTGGATACAATTCGTAACACTGTCTTTGGCAACTGTCTTCTTATACTACACGGTTATGGAAGAGAAAATACATCTCAATGTCAAACCCTATGAATTAAATATAATGTACCATGTGACAAGCAAAAACAGGAATGCATGCATAAGTACTTTCACCTTCGCAAAGTATTAGATTAAAAGAAAAAAAAAATCGGTATTTCTCTTAGTCTCGCTGCGAAACGTCTGGGACAAGTGAGTGGGTTTTGCTCTACCCTGCACCCCTGGGCAGTAATAAAACAGCCTACCAATATATATTAATTTCTCAAAGTAGTGTTGCTACGGCAACCTCCAAAGTAGCAGAAGTAATAACAATAGATTGTACATTCACCCATAACTTGAACCCTGTATAAGTAAAGTAATTTAAAATTGATATTAAAAAAAAAAAAAATTTTTTGTACACCTGATAATCCACTGAAAAAGAGACCGCAATATATTCACCAGATAGCCAGGCATAAAGAGGCAAAGAAAAGAAAGAAAAAAAACAAGACTGAAAAAAAATACAAAAAAAACCCATAAATATATGTAGTTTGCTAATAAAATCGTTTTCAGAAATGTACATTATTAGTTGAAGGCACGGCTTTAAAATTAGAAAAGCATAAAAAAAAAATATGACTCAAGTTTATGGTGATACTACATAGAGTATAATACAAGGAGCCGTATTGTTATTATTAATTAATGACCTCTGACCCGTCACTATAACAACATGACCAATTTCAACTTTCACCTTAATGTATAAATTTAAAAGTGATCACACTGTGATATTAGTAAAATTCAACCCCATCGCTATGGCAACCACCCTCTCCCCCATTTCATACATATATAAGATTACACTTCATAGTATTCCAATACAGTGATCATTAATTACTCAACTTTGACCCCATCACTAGGGCAACATATAGCCCAACACAAACCACAGTGCATAATTCCAGTACTGTAACACAGAATTACCACGATGTACATTAATTACATAATTAATAAGTCATTTTATAATATAAAGGTATGATTGAGTTTACAGATGCAATATTTGTTCTATTGAAAGCATTTATAAACCAGAATCATTAACATAAACAATGCATTTATGTAAACACATGTGCTACTAAAAGGGCAAATATGATAAATGGTACATGGACTGATAAATCAAAACCGTTTTTTATTTCACTTAGTGCCACCCAC